AGGAAGAAAGTAGTGCCAATGCGAGTCGTTCACGTGATGGCCTGTGGCCTAGTTCGTGACATCGTCGTCGAAACGCGGGAACGCGCTACATCCATACGAAAGTCAATACAAGAGGAAATGTGTCCCTCGCACGAGGAGAGACCGAAGTCTCGAGAGGGACTCGTACACGGCACCATCAAGATCAAAAATAAGCGAAAATATAATGCCTTCCAAAGGTCTTGCAACACTTTTTCGTGATCGAAATTCTCAGCACCTATAGCATCATCTGCGAAAATGTTAATATACTCAGACATCTTAATGTTAATTTTGTAAAGCGTCCATTCATGTCACGATTTGTGCCATCGTTTGTCCGAAATTCGCCTCAGAATCCGTCTGGCTCGGTTTTTCAGCGTGGAACAATGACAATCCGTCCCCAACTGATCGTTGGAAAGCTTACTTCTCATCTTGCTCGTCATGCGAGAAGCATGTTTTCTCTATGCACCTGAAAGAAAAGACTCCTGTCAGTGTCCTCCAAAACTCTTGCCGATTTTTTCACGATAAGAAATCTCGGTACCTATGGCATCAGTGGGAAAAAAATTGTCTTTGGATAACTTCTCTTAGCAAGGAGGCCATTACCATCAGGGTTTGAGCTACCATACCCCCAACACTTTCGTGGAAACAATCTGGTTCGGAATTCCCGCCTGGAACAATAATGGAAACATCACCCCGTCCCCATTCCTATTCCTGGCAAGCTCATGGAGTAAACATTGTGTCTTAGTCAGAACACTGGAGAATCGTTTCCCTTCGTTTCGAAGCTGCCTGGTCCTTTCGGGCCATTTTTCGGCATCTTGGCATCAATTTCTCAGTTGTGAGTTGGACTATTAGTCGTTACCTGCAAACCGAGTAGTAACCGAGAGTAGGTGCCGAGATTTTGTATCATGAAAAAGCTGGCAAGAGTTTTGGAGGACACTGACAGGAGTCTTTTCTTTAAGGTGCATAGAGAAAACATGCTACTCGAATGGCGTGCAATAAGAGAAGTAAGCTTTCCAACGATCAGTTGGGGACGGATTGTCATTGTTCCACGCTGAAAAACCGAGCCAGACGGATTCTGAGGCGAATTTCGGACAAACGATGGCACAAATCGTGACATGAATGGGCACTTTACAAAGGTAACAGATTAAGCTGTCTGAGGATATAAAAATTTTCGCCGATGATGTTAAAGGTGCTGAGAATTTTAATCACGAAAAAGTGTCACAAGACTTTTGGAGGGCAGCATATTTGAGCCATTTTTCCGGGACATACGGGAAGTGAAAACGGGGATCGGACGACAGCGAATCTCGGGTCGCCAAAGTGCATTTTCTGCACTCGTCATCTCGTCTGCAAATCGGTGGGGATATCCGCCTCGACGGAATCTGTCGTCGTGCGGAAACACGACAGAAACCTTGGGGATCGGGAAAAAAAATCTCGAGGACCGGGGAGCGAAGATTTTCTCGTCTCCCTAGGATACCATACGGACGCCTACGGATTCCCAGCTGGAACTGATCGACGGCAGTCTAAATAGAGGCCTTCCTCCTGCGACAGTCCTAAGAATAAGCTGGCAAAAGCAAATCCTCAAAGGACCTAACAGGGCCGCGAAATATGCTCTTGGTTGACCCCCCGCATTCTCTTCGTTTTTCCACAGAGAGAAAACAGAAAGAAAAAACGTTGAAGTTGCTTCTCACTTTTTTCATTGGAAGCAGAGACACGAAGGAAACGATCGCAGGAAGAAGATGATTGCACGACACATCTTCCTTCTGTCTTTACTTCGTTTCGCTCGGAAGAAACTTTCTCATAATGAGGAACAGCGTGCTTGCCGATTCAATTTCTCGGTGAGTGGCAAGAATATCAATTAATGTAGAAGTGCCGCTAATTGACCAGATCCTGGGTTCTTCCTGCTCACGAGACCAGACCCTTTTCGTCGCCGCCACCAACACAAACACGAAAC